TACAATAGCGACGATTATTATTTTAAAAAATTTTTGTTAGGCTTAACATCGATGAAAATTCAACGCAAAATAGGTTAATAGCGATATACTAATATACTAATTACATGGGATATAATAATATACTACACTAATAATGGATTTTTTCATACTTTTCGGTTATCCGACTTTTCAATTATCCGACCAACCCCAGTCCCCAATTAGGGCGGATAATCGAGGTTCTAATGTATTACATAAAAGTAGTTTATCCTGTTATTAATCCACAACTGTAAAATTATATGGCTTCAGAACGATGAAAAAAACCATTTCAAAAGGGATTCTGGTGTATTTTCTTATTAAAGATTGCAGCATTACTTCTTGCTGCCTGCATATGGCTATGATTGGTCATCTATATTCAGCAAACGAGATCAACAACGCAGTTAAGGAGACAAATTCCCTGACTTTTTGACAATTTTTGACAAATTCCCTGACTTTTTCCAAACACTAATAAAAATCCCTGACTTTTTCAAAAACACTAATGAAAATCCCTGACTTTCCAGGTGCGTAGGAACCCTGGATTTAACTAGACTTTCAAAAAAATCCAGCAATGAGTTGCGTAACTTTCCCAGCAACATTTTACGGTGCCATCTGTTATCAACAGTGTTATAGGCGGGGGGTCGACTGTATTGTAATTCCGTTTTATATGAATTCCATGTTGTACCAGTCATTTAGATTTTACAAATACATGTGCTGGGCTGTGAACGGCTCACGTATTTGTAAAATCTAAGTGACTTGTACAACGTGGAATTCATATAAAATGGAATTATCAACAGTGTTAGGGGGATCGACTGTATTTTGTTTAAAAAACTTAAGCTTTTTGCCATTTTATAATAGTTAAAAATATAACTTTGAGGGTAGGGATGGGCCTTATAAAAAAACTGTAAATGCTAATAACGAGTAAAACTGTCACTAAGTCCGATCCTACCGGAAATACATGCCACCCCCTTTATCTCTCCACCTAAACCTTTAATCACCGAACTTTAATAGCATCAATCCCTGCAAAATTTCAGATATTTTTGACAAAAAGCATAGGAGTTAAGCTTCAGTGAAGTTGAACAAATTCGTGCCACACGCATTCAGAAATTACCCCCAATTTTTTTTTTTTTTTTTTGCATTTTTCGGCATTCAAGGTCCCGAGTGCAAAAATGTAAAAATTTGGGTGGGTCATTTTTTACCACATTGTCATACTTTCCTCTGTTATTTTTCCCCACATAAGAAGTCCAATTTCTCCAGTTTCAACATTTAAGCCATAAGACGTGTGTTGAAAATGTAAAACCAATGAAATAGTTTGCCTTCTTTTTTAATTTTTCAGAGCAACTCCCGAAAAATAGTAAAGTTTTAGCAAGCTAACTCCGGATGTTTGTTGTATTGTACTGTATATCAAACACCCGCACACCTAAGGGGTCTTATTGTTTTGACCGTACGCCCTTCTGGTGTCATCCATTAACTATTGATGCCTGTCACTCGTCACCTGTTACGGACGGTGCATCTTACTTTACTGTATTAAACTATGCTATATTATATTACCACAATCTATACTATTATTATAAAGAGATAAAGTTTGTAAGTTTAGATGTAGGAGGTAATCTCCAAAACTACTCATCCGATTTCAAAAATTCTTTCACCAATATTTAGAATGGACCTTCAGGGTGGACATAGGCTGTACAGTGGTGCCTTGTATAACGTACTTAATCCGTTCCAGGTGCACGTCCGTTAAGTGAAAAGTCCGTTATACGAAACGCATTTTCCCATAGAAATACATGTTAAAACGTATAATTTGTTCCGCAGCATAAAATAACCGTACTGTACCATAAAAAAAAATGAAAATGGAGCAGTCACCAATTATGCTGGGTAGTCAGATGTTATGAGGAGGAGGTGGAGGAACACTTTCTTCACACATTCATACAGATACAGACTTTTTACACATTGCAGCAGGTCTCTTTTTTATTAGTTTTTAATCGGAGTCAGATTCAGGAGACGCTACCAGGGCTTGCAGAGTCAACTCCTCTTGTTCCATCCTTTGTTTTTTGGCAGTTGGCTTCTTGAAAAACATGTCCAAGGTGGTCTGTTTCTCTCTCTTCTTCAACACCTGTCGGAAATGACAGGCAAGGGTGTCATTGTAGAGATCATTAATCCTGTTGGCATCAGCTCTGTTTGGATAATGAGTGTTGGTAAACTCCTGAACCTCTCCCCATTTGACAAGGAAGTTTTTGTCAACTTTCACTCCTTCTGATGATTTCTTGCTTTGTTTCAATTGAAATCACCTTTCTGTTTTTTTAGAAGCCATGATTTGCACAACACTTGAATAAATGTAAATACCCTGCACTGAGGTGATGTACGTAATAAACAAGGGAGCAAGCCGAATCCCAACGGGAGCTCTGTACTTCAGATATACTAATAATATATTCTAATAATACTAATATATTATAAAAATAGCAGATTGTCATTGGCAACGGCAAAAGAGTGGAAACATCATTCGCACTTGTTCGCAGAAAGTCCATTGTTCGCCTCACGTAACTGCCGAACGAAAAGTCCATTGTTCGCAGCCAGTCCGTTGCTCGAGTCATATAACGGCCAAACAGAAAGTCCGTTGTTCGCAGCATCTGTTATACGAGGCACCACTGTATATTATTCCATTAAACATTCATATAAATTAATAGATATCTAGGATTAAGGCTTTTATGCCCAACAGATAGTGCTAACTCCACAAGTACGACGACCTAAGTTTACTTTTCTCTTAGGATGAACTAAAGCAGATCATCATCTATTTATCTATATAAATAAAAATATAATGTTCATTTGTTTCTACCAATTTCTTTGAAATTTTGACACAACATTGCATTCAAACACGCACGTGTTTTTATATAATATACACGTCAAAATTCTCCCCACTGAGGGGAGATGGACGAAATTAAGGCTTACCATGAAGAACTCTGCATCTAAAATAGTATAAATAGAAGCAGTTTTTTGCACGTTTGATTGCATTTTAATAGGGTACGTCAAGAGAATGTACACTAAGAAGGGATTTTTCGAAAAATTCCCCCGCACAGGGGAAGTGTTATACATTTATAATAGATACATTTTGAGCCACAACAACACGTGGCGGTTTTTTTATATAAAACTTAAATGATTTCCAAACGCAAGACATCAGGTTCGCTTGGACCAGAGGTTCCCAAATTGGGCACTTCCGCACCCCCCCGTTATCAGCAGGTAAATCTAGGAGGGCAAAAATGAAGCGAGTGGCCGGCAGGGGGCACTGGAGACAGAATAACATATGGTGACCGTAGGCAAGGTTTGAGGTCACCGAAAACCTTTCCCTTTCCTCCATTAAGATGGGTTAGAATCATTGTATTTAATCATTTCCAGATGTAAAGAACAATGTACAGTAAGTGTAAAAGTTTGTAGAAAAGTTTTTCTAAGGATATTTCCAAGCCTTTCTCACACAAGGAAAAATGGGTTAGGGGTTTTGGTATAAGTTTAGGGAACTGAGGGGGCAGTGATTCAAAAAAGTTGGGAACTGCCGACTTAGGCTTCGTGCTCTTCCACAAATCTGCATTTTACGTGGGCCAGATCCTGTAATGGAATGGACCAATGAGAATAAAAGACTGGAACGGAGCCCAATCTTTATTGCTAACATGAAAAATTACAAAATTCCTTGTGACTCTAGAATGCCAACCTATGCACTATCTCACCCTGCAACCACCGAACTTGTCTGTAACAAGTTTTCAAAATAAAAATTTACTCCATTCTTCAAATTATCTTCATTGTCATTGAGATAAGACTCACGTAAAGTGGAATCAGTGCTAAATCCCCCCCCCCGTTTTGGCAAGTTTCCATTTAGAATGGGTTCAGGTGTTTTTATCTTCTTTCAACTTCTAAACTTTCCCCAAAAGGAGTTAGATAGATAAACAGCACGACTCCATTGCTAATAAAAACTATGACATACAGAGGTAAGACATTACTAATTTGAGATGGAGAGCGTATATTTTTAATTAAAAAATTATTTAAAATATGATTTAAAATTGCAACCTGGCATTGTGACAATGTCAATAAATAATTGCTCGTTAGTTACTAACTATTCTGTAGTCTGCATAAGGGGAATAAAGGGTACCATGTTACAGTAGAACCTCGAAAACTCGGCTCTCGATAACCCGGCACTCCGGATAACTCGGCCACACCCTGGCAGGGCAAAAAAATCCTTAGTTAATTAATTTTCATTATAGACAGCTTTATAAAAGTATAAAAGCTCTCATAAAGTATTTTTCTGAGGTCTGTCTTATCAGGTAAATTACTGTACACAGTGTATTCATTAATTTTCATTTTCATGTAGTAAAGGCTCTATGCCTTCATAAAGGACGTACTTTTCCTTTGTTTAAGGGTATTTGGGCAGTTTATTCTCTGTTATATTCTCAAGTAAACAATACATACAAGTACAGTACAGTATTTTCTGAGGAAACACTCGTACTTATTTTTTTTAACCCCATTCCCGATAACCCGGCATTTTCACAAACTCGGCCACCCTTCGGTCCACATTAGGCCGAGTTTTCGAGGTTCTACTGTACTTTACTGGTAACCATTCGTTCTCTAGAACTTTACTCCTGGAAGCCCATTCAATCCTCTAAACCCAATTCTTAAATTAGCCGATATTAACAAATGTAGAATCGAATACTTTTAGGTTTAACCTAAAAGTATTCGATTCTACATTTGTTAATATTGGTCTTTGCCAGTATTAATCAAAGACATTCATTTCTTAAAACAAATTTAAAAATTGTTCTCAAAATACAATTTCATCACACTCTGCAACCAGTTATACCCAGAGGAAACTCCATCTGCAAACTGTAAAATTTTAAGCTTAATTTTATGCTTTATTTGGATTAAACAGCATTCTTTGTACCCAAAAACCTCTTCCGTTTCAACATTAAATTTTACAATAAGTCTGAAACCAATCTAACATAGAAAATCTCTTCATTCCAAAGTTTTAACCTGTTTGATAATACGTTGCTCCCAGAAAATTGAATAACTAATATTTCCTGTGTATAATTTGTACAATCTGTGTGACAAAGGACCAGACTTAATTAATGAATGGGTCATCAGATGTGTTTTCCAAACAGACAAAGGTTACAAATATGCATTCCTGATGATAAATGAAGATTACAGAACAATTTCTAAATTTACCATTATAAATTGTAACAATTATAATGGAAAAAATATTTCTACAAAAAGTATATCCTGGTGTAATTCCATCAGAAAATGTGAGAGAGTTAAAACGTCTATTTTTTAAAAAGGATACTGATGTGTATTAGTTTGTAAAATTAAAATTATCTTCAATTTCTGTCTATACCCTAATAATTATAATATGAAAAAAAAATCAATCTCACCGGAATGCCAAAATGTTCCGTCACACCTCTTCCATTCTTTCCCAGGACGCCAAAAGAACAACTTTCGTCGATGAATAATCGAACTTTGTACTTTGATTTCAACTCAATCTGGAAAAAAGAAATGACAATTTTAAATTCAAAATTGAATTTAAAAAAAAAAAAAACAAGAAACGAATTAATGTGTTATTACAACATTGCATGAAGTTTAAAATGTTTACAATTCTATTTTTTAGATTTACTTAAACATTAAATACAAAAAGGAATAATAATAAAAAGCAAAATGTTTACATAAAATTCTTAAGCTAATTATTACATAATAGTTCATATGATATTTATAATTTATTCTAGTGTTTGGGACAACAGTTTGACGTTCTTTAGCCTGATGTACTGATCCATAAAGAGAGACTAGATAATGTTACATTATGCTATTTGTACAGAATGGTATAAAGTCCCATTACTCTCGAAAGTTTATTTTGAGTAATTAAATTCTATAATGTCCGTCAATCTTATGACAAATGGTACAACTGTAACAAACTTAATTGCCGAACGTTAACTAAAAGAGTTATCCACGACAAGAATTTTTCCTCTTGTTCTAAGTTATCTCTTATACATGGGACTTTCAAAAGTTCCCATGTTTCAAAAGTGCCATATGTTAAGTTATATTGTAATTAAAATTATAAAAGTTATTTTCTAAATAAGATCTCATAATAGTTGGGAAAGTTATGCAACTCGTTGCCGGATTTTTTTATTCCCAAATTTAAAAAAAAAAAAAAAAAAAGACATTAAAGGCATTTGGTGGCAGTGAATAGATAAAGTAAAATGTTTTTTAGTGCAGGACTAGAATCAAAGAGGGGCAACACCATATGGAAAAAATGTTTTAACTTAAATGGAACACACGTTGAAAAAATCCAGCAAGAGTTGCTTAACTTCACCGGCAACGTTTAAAACTGTTGGGCACACCATGAGTTATAAGAAGTATTTAATAATAAAATATTGTATTTTGAATTATTATGAAATGACAAAAAGCTTAACTTTGAGGGTAGGGGCAAGTCTTATAAAAAATTGTAAATGCTAATAAACAAGTAAAATGTTCATTAAGTCTGACCCTACCAGAGATACTCACTATTCCCTTTATTTCCCTACCCCTTCAACCTTCAATCACCAAAATTTAATAGCGTTGATCCCCCTAATAAACAAATCTCCCTGCCAAATGTCAGAAATTTTCAACAAAAAGCACAGGAGTTAAGCTTCAGAACAGGAGTGAAAAATATCATGCCCCCCACACAAACTAACATCCATACATACAGAAATTACCCCTAAATTCTTTTGCGTCTCTCTATTTTTCAAGGTCCGAGTTCAAAGATGTAAAAATCTGGGCAGTCATTTTATATATAATCAAGGGAAAGTATGAAAGTAAAACTAAAGTACTAAATTCAATTTGCTGTCTATTTACATTTTCTGGGAACTTTTTGTAATCTTGTAATAAACATTCTCTTTATTAGACAATGTTTCTTTTTACATCTGATAACACTTACAAAAGTATCAGTTAGGAAATGCCTATAATGAATATTTTGATCCTTTAGAAATTTGAATTTTGTTCCAATTAACTATTAAATCTTAACTGAAAATGACTTGGGACAGCTCGATATTCTTAAAAGGCACGGGCATTAATTTTACATCTAGGCTTCTTATATGGCAAATTGAATGGAGATATAAATATAACACGTAATTGTTGCAAGAAATTAATTTTAAACAGTAAAATGTTACCAGCTTTGGTAGAGGACAGATGTCTCCGTGATTCATATAGAGTCCTTCGACGACGAGAAATTTTAAAGTAACTTTGGCTTTTCGAGGATTCTGAAAAGTCAATTAAAACTTTAACACCAAGACCAAATCAAAAATTAAATTAATCTTCTTTACTTGTTTTTTGTATTTGCTATTTTTGATTAAATTTTTTACAACTTACTTTGTGATCCAATTCAACTTGTTCCATAAACAATCTTTCCAAATCTTCCATGTCGTTGTGCTTGAAAAATCTGATCTGACTGCGAGAGGCCACCAGACCCTTTTGGATGGCAAAACTGACTCCTTCGTCACTGTAAATTACATAAGTCGTGATAATTTAATGTTTTTGTAATAAATCCGAACAAATCTAATATATTAAATTTAAAATTTTCTCGTAGAGAGCAAAGACATTAAAAATTATACATAATTAGAAAACAAACTCCAAAATTTTGAACAAGGTGCATGCTTTTAAATGTAATTACAAGTCAAACACAAATTTCGAGTCCTTGCAATTTTTTTTCTCACACAAAAATCACATGTTAATGATTCTAAATTTGTATTTATTTACTAATTAAATACTAGTTAATATCTTTAATATGTGAATACAGAATTTAATTCCAAATTTTTATTTTATGTCTATGATTTGCAAGCACTCAAATATCAGATTGTTGTTACTGTTAGCGTATATAATTTTTACCTTATACACACACTAATAAAAATTAATCATCTTTAGAAAAATTTTACTCACCAAAAAATTATGTCACCTTGCTTAGAATAAGCGGGAATTGCACTCGATATAGCGGCAAAACCGTACGAATATAATACAGACTCTTCTACTCCCATAAAATCGGCCAGAGCTTGTTCTAAATCTAAATGTATATCTATAAAAAAATAAAATATCAAGACAATATTATTTATACAAAATTCTATTTCATTATTAAAATATTTTGTAGGCAATGAGAATAAATCATCATAAAGACTGCAGTAATCAGCCCTTACAATGTGGAATCTTTGTGGTAAACTGACTTTTAAGTAACATTTTTTACTCAATTTTAATGGAATCTAAAATATATCTTACCAACAGTTCCAAAAAATCCCCTTGGTCCGCAAGAGCCGACACCGTACTTCCTTAACCCAATGATTGCTTCTTTCTGTCAAGTTATTTTTAAATTATTTTGAATACTTTCTACAGAATTTTCATTTATTTATTAAATAAAAATTCAAAAGCAGACAATCATTACTATTAAAATTATTATTATGATTTAGCAATCAGTTGTTTAATTATTAAGATAATCTCTCACTAGGTTTGAGAATTTTATAATAGCACCATTATTAACTTCTATGTTGTCACAGTTGCAGATTCAAATACTGCTCTAAATTATTTTTATCTGAGTTTTATACACTTAAGTTCTGAATTATTTAATTAGTAATACAGGAAGATTAATGTCCCACCCCTTTTTAACTTTTTCTGCCCAGTGGGCACTAAGAGGGCCTTTTTTTAGCATGCCTATTATAGATTCAGTCAGGTCCACAACAGGATGGCTGGTCAGCGAAGGACGGGACCAGATGTATCCAGTCGGACTACCCCTGAAATATTTCTTGAATTTCTCGACCCGTCCAGTTTCAAGCCCAGAACCCCAGAGCAATAGCTGCCATCCTAACTGCTTGACCATCTGGCCATCGGAAGATTAATGTCAGTTATCAATTTAGTGAAGGTTTTATTTGGAATTTGATAAAACAGTATTTAAGAGGATTCCCAATACCATAGCATCCAAATTTATGACTCCCATTTTACAAATTATCACTTTTTCATTACTTTAGTGTTGTATATACAATTTAAACTTTATTTCCATCAACAGAACTTCACTTTACAACAATGAACACATGACAAATTAGAGTCTGGTTTAAGGCAACTCGCTTAACAACATTTTCAATTAAATCATAAAAGAAAGAAGTATATTAACTGAGTGCTTGTTTCATAGATAATAGCATTGTAATTAACAAAGTTTTATAAATTTCAGAAATAGAGAAAGTTCTTTACCTCAAGATCTGGATTTTCCACAAATCCTAAATAATTGTGAGTGGCTGCATTCAAGCAAATCTTTCCGTCGACCATAACATTTTTACCTAATTTTCTGAAATTATATTTTATAAATCATTCATTTGTAGCAGATGTTTATAAGTCTATATACAGTTTGTCAATTAAAAGGAAATATTGTTTTAAAATATATAGAAAGGTAGTTAAATAAAAAGAAATATTTGTTTTTTTTTACTGGGTACTTATTTAGCTTATATTAGTAAGTAAAAAATTTATAAGAAAGATTAATATGAATTAATCTTTGATTCATACAAGGTCCATTCAAAAAATATGCAGACTGTTTGAATTGCGTGGCTTCAGTTGGTTCCAGGGGAATCAGCTTGGTGTCGCTAGATTTGTACAATCATCTGGTGATAAAGCCATTTTCCGATTATAGATATCTTTATTTGTTGATTAGCTATGCAGTTTTTAGTGAAGTGTGATTTTTTCATTTGTTGGATTTCAGAATCAATGACCTGATCAAGCAACAACTTGTGAAATTTTGTGTTAAACTTGGAAAATCTGCGACTGAAACATTTGCTATACTCAACCAGTGGGTGGGTGAAATGTCCCCAGACCCAAAAAAAGCTCGCCAAGTTCAATCCAATGTCAAGGTGATGCTGATAGTTTTCTTTAATGCTAAGGGTGTTGTTCAACAAGAGTGCCTCCCCAAGGCTCCACAGTGAACCAGACTTACTATGTTGAAGTTCTGAAACATCTGAGGGACGCCATCCATCGCAAAAGGCCAGAAATGTGGAAGAGTGGCGACTGGTTTCTCCATCACGACAACCAGCTCATTCAGCCCTCAGAACACGAGTTTTTGGCCAAACACTCGATCACTGTTCTTCCCAACCTCCCTACTCACCTGACCTTGCTCCTTGTGACTTTTTCTTGTTCCCCAAACTCAAAAGACCCTTGAAAGGATTTGAGATGATTCCCGAGATTAAAGCAAATGCGACGAAGGCGCTGAAAGACACTACAAAAGAAGCGTACCAGGACTGTTTCAACAAGTGGAAACACCATTGGAATAAGTGTGTGCATTGGGAAGGGGACCCAGACATGCAACTTCTCCATAAAGTACATTTTGTTTTATGACGTCAGTCCGCATATTTTTTTAACAGACCTCATAAGCAAGCATAAATTCATCAAAAATATATAGGAAATTAATATTTCAATATTTCAATTACAAAAACTAAATCTTCATCTTACCATTCCTATACACCAGTTATTCACCTTTGTATATTGTGATGCAGTAATACTAAAGTAAGTTATTTTTAATTTTATATTATTTTTTTCAAATAAAAAGAAAATAAAAAGTCCTTTTATGAAAATATCTTATTTATCCCAAACATAGAAATAGATAAATAAATAACACTCACGCCAAAACTGTATAGCTTCTTGATAACAAGTATGATAACTTGATAACAATGCTTGTTATCAAGAAGTTATCCCAAACAATACCATGATTTCTATTGCTTAACTTATTCAGTAGTAATATATATTATGTGGATAAAATAATAGTCATAAATTAAAATAATCTACTGTATCATAACTCAATGAAAATATTTGATAAGATAAAAAAAAAAACAATTAGTAATACAGTTGTAATTAACAATTGGTTTAATAATATTAATTAACAATTAGTAATAACAAAGTACAAATTTACCCTTTCACAATTCGAGGTTTTAAAGCATAGTGATCTTCGGGTGTTTTTGGTACCAACGCTTCGGGCATCCATTCGCTTATCAGCGATTCTTTCTCCTAAATGTTGTAAACAAAGCTATTTAATTAATAATCTATAAATTTTCAAATACCCAAAAGTTAGCATTAAAACAAGCTTTTTTAATTGCAATTATTAATATATTATTAAGAAGATAAGTAAATTTATTAATTTTTTAATTAACTATTTCATTATTCTTTTTTTATATTTGTTATTGTTATTTTGTATTTTAGTACATGTTTTTCTTAATTTCAGTATATATTTTAATAGGAATTGTTTATTTGTTGTATCATTGGGTGGCAATTATCATCTTAGTGACTTTGCCTGTATAAAAAATTGAAATGCAATCAAAATTTTATGGATTTCTCTTGAATTATTAAAAAATTTGAGTAATAGTTTAGCTGAAAAATAAGCTACGGATAGTTTTTTCTGCAGGCTTTTGGTGTTTGGCAGTATTCAGTATTCTTTGGCAATGTCATACTCTCTAATTTCTTTTCCACTTGAATGTAATTATTTTGACTTTCTTTTTATCTAAAGATAAAACTTCTGTGCATTCCAAGCTTAGATATTGTAAAATATAGTTAAAAAAGTCCAATAACTGTAAAACATGCAGCAATTTCATCCACATTCTGGAAGATTACAGAACATACATTTTAAGGAATCTGATTTTTGTATCATTTAACCCAATAGAAAGAAATAAAAATATAACAGCATATATAAATGTCATGTATGTACAGAGACAACTCATAAGTAAATATATAACCTGAATGTTAGAAAATGCTTGAGGCAACATGAACTCCAAAAAATACACCATATTGGAGAAGGATCTTCATCCAACATTCTCCTCTGGGATGATGGACAAAGCATTCACTCTGTTCACGGATGACAGAGCTCTTTGTCATACTGCCAAAAAGACATAGAACTGGCTGGCAACACAAGGTATTCAAGACATTCAAAGGCAAAGCTTCCATAGGTCAATCATCTGACACAAATCCCATGAAACACATCTGTAATCTTCTTCATAGATTAAATTAATGAAGTTAGAATTAGCATAGATAGAAATTAGTTTTCAACATTATATGCATATTTTCTTCAATCTTCCTTTCAATACACTTGACTATTGTAGATGTTATCTTTTTAAAGAGGTGAATTAGAGGCTGTAGACCTATTTTCAAGTATCCCAGGCTCTTACATTCTGGTATATTGAGCTGCATTGCAATTTAAAAACAGCTGTCAACTAGCATCTTTAATATTTAGATCATCATCAAAAGCTGCCATTTCTCATTAATTATTATATGATATTTCCTACAAAGAATCATCCTATTCTTTGTCTTCCAGTGTTAACAAGATATGGAAAAGAAATCTGCTGACATACATTTTACTTATTGAATTTACTCAAACATTTTATTTTATGAATGAAATATGTTGAACTTTTTAAACTGCTGAAAAACTATTAATATGACATTGCGATTCGTTATATCCAGATTTTAAAAATGCAATATGTAAATCAGCTCTATGTTTATGTATAGAAAATAAGCCTAAGGTATTCAAATCATGTTCAGAAATCACAAAAAAATTCTTTTTTCTAATTATTGAATTTAATAGAAAACAATATCCTAACCACCTACCTTTAGTCCAAATTATTTAATATTTTTATAAGTAATTAGCCATATTAGATCTTGATAAAAAATTCAGTGGTATATTTTGATTATTATGAAAAATTACAATGAAAAATTTAAGACAATGTTTGACTGAAAAAAAAAAAAAAAACACACACACACAGACATACACAAGTTTAAAGTAACTAACCTCTGCAGTAAGCTCGGTATTGTCGGGCTGATAGCTTTTATGAAGTAATAACCAAAGCAGCCATAAGATTAAAAATAATTCTAGTGCCAAATGATAACCGGGAGCCTAAAACAATAATAATAATAAATTATATTTATAAAATAATTATAATGATTTATTATTGTTTTATAACTGTTATCATCATTATAAAATTTAAATATATTAACAACGATATCTAATACAAACGTGTTTATTTTTTGTCATTTTGATTTTATGGCATTTCAAATACAAAAAAAAATATACTGCTGCTATTTCTTTGCCTCGTAATAACACTTACACTTGTTATAATCTGAGATTGTAATCTTAAAATTTACAAAAAATTCTGAAACATTTAATTTCTCTGACAATAGATTATATTTTAAATAAATTACAGTTTTTTTGCGTATTTTTTTTTCATGTATTTTACTTGTCCTTGGGTATAAATAGATGAGAAAAATGTTTACAAAGGGGAAACAGGTCATGTATTAAATAAAAGAATCAGAGAATACTGCAATTCAGTTAAAACACATCCAATCTTCCACTGTATAAACACTCAATTCTTAACGAATGTGAAATTAATAAAAATAAGATTAATATATTACATAATGAAATAGATACATATAAAAGGTGAAGGGGAAATATACATTAAAATGTAACTGCTAATTCTTCAAGTGAAAAACTTAGTGCCATTTGGTAGTATAGGACTTACACAACTTGAAAAAGAGCTCTATTTGAGGAGATGTACTTGGAAAACCCATGTTTTTGGTGGTAAAAGAGAAAACCTAGTCAGAGCCATTCTTATGCTGCCAAAAACGAGTTAATTCTTAAGTCCAACTCCATCAGTTATTTTCTGAGTTACATAAGACTGTTACTATCAAACATAAAACAAACCATTGGCAAGGCTAACCTTAATTTTTGATAGTGTGCTCAGAATAATAATAATAAATAGAGAAATGTTGATTTCATCCAAGCCAGAGCATTCCTGATTATAGACTGATCAAATATCCAAAAAGTTATCGATGAGAGAAAACAGAACAGTAATTGAACTAAATGTCTGAATAGGAACTTACAGATCGAAAACATCCACACTTTTCAGCAGAGAAATTTATTCTGAAAAACCAAAACAATTGTTTATGAAATAAAGTTCTCTGCTGGAAAAGCATGGATGGTTTTGATTTGTAATGTCATCTCAGTTTCGGCTTTGTCAATGCTTTTTGTCCAAATAGGTTGTATCCGACCAGAATGCGAGAAGCTCTATTGTGGATCGAGCCTAAAATTGCCAATTTTTAATTTACTTGTATATTGTCTCAATCTCAATTAAATGGTTTCTTGTAATATGGCCACAATAAAATTTTACACATTATCTAACTATCAGTTATAATAATTTAAATAGTAAATAATTCAAAAAAGACAATATTCATCACAAAAACATTTATTTCTAAGTTAAATTATAACAGAACGCACTAAGATATAATGAAAAGAACAGACTCGCAACTATGCCTCATTAATATAGTGTTTTAATTAAAAATATAACGGCATAAAATCACCATTAGATAAAAACAAGACATACAATTGAATTCGTTAAATTTTAACAATGCATGACAATAAATTTGCTATAAAAAAAAATAACTGTTTTCTTTTAATAAGTAACTAGCTACAACTTTTCTATGAATTTAATTTTACCATTATTATTTGTGGCTATAATCATTTGAAACTCTCTTTCCTAACAATTTACAAATTACAGAAATTTAATACTATATTAGAGTGTTTATAGAATGCTTTCACATAACATTTTATTTTATTATTGTCAATAAACTGTGTTATCATTTTTTACAACTTGCATTACAACAACTTTAATTAAAATTTTAATGTGCTCATTTAATTTCGTAATTATTATTCTTGCCATTTTAAAGTTCTATTATTATTATTATCATATAGATAAAATGCTTAAAATTTTATTAATGAAGTTAGATATTATAATCATAAATTAATTTTATAAATTATAGTCAAAATATAACTAAAAACATGATTATTTCTTAGCTACAATTCAGCTAATTATTAATTAAATTACAGAATTTGTCTAAATGTTGAGAGGAATTTGATTAATCATCATCATCATCATCATCATCATGGACTATGATTAATAATTACTACGCATGGGGAGGGAAAAATACAACATAACAATTCTTAAACATAAAGCGAGACCCAAACAAGAGGAAAGATTCATAAAAAAAAGACAAAAAGAATTATACATAATTAAAATATTTTTAATTTCATAGTGTATATTGAAGTAGAATTGAAGTTAAATGATAAAATAATGGCAGAAAGGCTAAAAGCTGTACCATTGTCAGCCAAAAATACTGCATTTTTAAGTTAAAACAATCTCAAAATTGCTAGTTAGCAAAAAGAATCTGAGAAGTTAAGAAAATATTTTTAAATTCATCAATCAAAGACTTGAAATAGTTTCTTCTACTTATTAAACAAAACTGCAGTTTCATGCTGATAAAACAAATTAAATTAGAATTATTTCATATCTATTGTCCTTGAGAGGATATTATTTGAAGAGTTAATATCAGAAGATGCAATGAATATTCATAACATAGTTTTAACTTACGTAAGTTATAAGGAAAATATATTAAAATTTATAATGACATGTATGTAAATATATCCATAATTATTATTATTATAGAATGGTAATAATTGTTTATTCAAAAAATTTACATATAAATGAAATTTATGTATAACGATAAACTTTTATTTATATAAAATTCTATAGATTTAAAATAAATCTAGTTTCATAATCTTTCAAATTACTACATAATAAGATTAATTTGAAACATAATCCAAAGTAACAGTTTAAATTAACATATTTGCATTGTTAATTTTGTTGTGTGTTGAAATGTGAAGGTTTTATAAAATAAAATCATGATAGTTAGCACAAATAATGAGAATAATGCAGTGTTTAAGTTCATTTAATTAGAATAATACACACAAAGTCTTTATGAGTCTAGGAACTTCAGAACATTAAGAAAAGAAAACAAATTCACATTTTCTCTTTACAAGTCCAATCGTATCATTTAAATCTTGGAATCCTCTGTTCCACAATTCAAATGCTTTTTCGTCAAATTTGAAACTTCAAATCATTTTCAAAATTTGTGCACGGTGCATGTTTGACACTATACCTCCTCACAAATAGGCAATTAGGGATGTACGTAATCCCTTATCATACAACTGAACAACTGTCTTACATTGTGTAGTACACTCAAAATCATATTGCTTCTCTTAAAATCACACGAATTACAAAGAAATTAGTTTCTCAGACCATCTCCAATCTGTTACATAACCATTTAGCTTAAAGCTAAATGGTCACTTTTGAAAATATTGATACCTTCAATCACACAAACTATCAAGAGCAAGGTTTTACATAAGTGGAAGAAATGAAACTAATATCAAGAAAATGGTAATTAAAAAATGTAAAGAAAGTACATAATGAGCATGTGTGCGAAATTTGTGTATACTGCAATAAAAAAACATACTGTCATTTTCTACTCCAATTTCAATAATAATAATAATTTCTTTTCATAATATATTAACTTTGTCTTATTAAAACAACATGCAGGTCATATTTTTTATACACCAATGTATCAAAAACAAACAAATTTATCAAATGATAAAAATGGACGACACATTTCACTCAAGTAATAAAACACAGTAGAAATTAAGCAAAACCGACAGTTAATAATACATATCACAAGTGGGTCCATAAATTACTGTGGATAAATTGTTCATATAGAGTAACTAAAAAAACGCTTATCTCCAGTAAAACTTGGATATTTAGACTTTGGACACTTATGACTTTTGGATTGAATTTGGGGTTGTGTGGCACAAGGGCCTAGATAGGTCAAAGAATACCAAGTCTAACCAGTTATGTTGCTCTATGTCCTTTTGTGTCTTTTAATACATGATAATTATTCTGTTGTATGTCCTAGAGTTCTGTAAGTTTATTGCCTTCAGATATGCCATTGTAGGTTGAATTTGTCTGTTATTATCTCCTTAGAGCATGGTGTCTGAAGATGTTTGTTGTCAAAGGTAGCAGGACACTCTTCTTTTTGAAAACTTATTTACGTTAAATAAACTTGAATAGATTAGAACTTCTCCATCCACCATCCAAAAGTAACTGTAAAAGCTTGTAAAATAAACATTTCAAAAAATTTCATATATATCTAGTGAGAAGTATATTAAAAATAAACATTCCCATAAAAATTGATCTATGACGTACAGTACTTTAAATTTTTTAAAGTTTTGTTTATGCTAATGTATTTATAGAATATGATTCTTGTTTATATATAAAATATGTTTGTCTATAAATACATTAGCCTATATATTTACACTTTTCAGGATATAATTTAAGGAAAATATTTAGACAAACATTAACATTTTCCTGTAAAACTGTACTTCAAAATTTTGTCTAAATTAAATATTTCAATGACAATTCCCAATTCTCAGTTACATGCATAAATTTTAAGCAATCAAATAATTGAGTAAATCAAATTGGTACAAATTTGGAACAACAGATACAGCAAAGAATATAAATCAAACTTAAAATGTTTTTACAGGAAATAAAGATCACAAAAATTAGTCACAAAACCTAAACAAAACGGTTTCAATCGTAATAAAAAAATCAAAACTATTACTGTTCATTCACCTAATTACCGAAAGTACTTGCAATTAAAATTTATGTAAACAAATATATGTTTTAAGTCAATTGTGATCTTTAACAGTAAAGAGAGCTTATTTTATGTTTAATGAGCTTTACAACTCTTAGCAGCAGGCCCGAATTCCAATGATGCAAGTAATTTGTCTAATGTGTTGAAATCTGAAGGTCTCTGAAAATTTCTAAAGCATACAGTTTAAAAATAATGAAGAAAATTGTGATGTCGTTGTGAAATAGAACTGGTTTTCTTTAATTAGAAGTTTTTTAAAAATTTCTCTAACATGTTCCAAATATCCAGTATCAAATGAATAAACATCTTGAAACCCGATAAGTCTGTAAAGCCAAATAACTACCGGATTACATTAAATGAATA